GAGAAATGGTTTATGAGACGTGGTATGTAATTATGATAGTAATTGTATGCTCATGCATTGATTCATGCATTGATACATATTATGATTGATTGATGATTATGGGTTGATGTTTGATTGTTTAAGAGTAATTGAGGAATGGTTATAGAAGTAGCAATAATGGATGAGGTAAGGGTTGAGGATTGTGATTGAGGTCATGAGTGATAGTATTATGATGAGGATAATTGGTAGGAACTTCCCTTGGAAACAGCCCTATGTGGATCTCCATGTGGTTAGAACCTGAGAGGAACATGTGAATCTTCAATATCTCCAGTGCAAGCTTGATTTTGATCCGTCTCCGTCGCTCACGAACATGAACTGTGGATTTCTCTGCGTTCCCTCTGCCTCCAAGTACTAAGAACTCTCTAGGAATGTGAAAAACTATGTAATTCTGCCTCAAATTATGTTTTTAAGGGCAAATAATTCGTGCCCTATGTGGATACTTCAAGTGGGCCTAAGTTGGGTCTTTCGTGGCGCTTAAGCGCGCTGTGGGGCGCTTAAGCCTCATAAGATTTGCATGCAGAATTAACGTGGCGTGCTTAAGCGCGCTGGAGGGAGCTGAAGCGCGCTCTTCGAAACACAACTTTTACTCTTTGTCGCGCTTAAGCCCTGAGTTAGGGGCTTAAGCTTCCTCAGGCAGTAGCTATTTGCTTATTTTGGAATAATTGGGAGGCTTAAGCTTCGAAATGGGGGCTTAAGCCTCCTCTTCAACAACTTAATTTTTCTTGATTTTCTTTAGATAGATCCTCATATCTTCTAGTTTTGATCTTCATCTATCCAATCTTTATCTTTGACTCCATTTATCATCAAATTCCTTCAAAATAGCAAATATAAATATTATTTAATTCATAATCACATAATTCATGTATTTTAAAACCCTAGTTTTTACTAATTTAACTTGATAATTCATCTCATTTTAGTCTATAAAAATAAGATAAACTAAAGGTTTATCAGTGTGATTGGGCCCGATACATATAGGCCAACCCATATTGTATTAGTATGATCACATACATTTATTAATATGTTAAATACAATGTTGAGAAGCTGTTATTGGTCCTCACATTGTAATTTTACATGATTTCACAAATGCTAACATAATCACAAGTACAAAAATCACCAAGTTTGATAAACATAATGTAATGTATAAAACTTATCGTCTGGATGCTTCTAATGTTGGCAACATGTGATGCATTATACCAGTATTTTATACAGAAAAAATCTGTGAAAGAAAGCTTCCTGATTCTCAAATTACATCTAGTCATAAACTGAACCAGATTATGAAGGTACAAGTCTATATGTTTAAAGAGGGTGAAATATATCAATCCCAGGGATATAAGAGAGGTAGTGGTATGCATCAAAACTCTTAATTATCTTTGTACTTACCTTAGTCCATCCGAGAGTGCTAAGGGGGAGGTATCTAAGGACTACGACTATGGCTAACGTGTGAATTCAATATAGTAACGACAATAGAAAGTCTACGGAGAAGATGAATACTGATTGAGTCAAAGTCCCTTTACATAAAAAGTTAGAGATTCCCTTCAAGTGCGTAAAAAGTAATGCCATAACACGTTTTCAACCTTGTGAGCCCCATTAGGTATGAGGCTGCATGATCGATGACCTATAAATGATTATATATATAGTGAAAAATATAAGAGAAAATGTATGCAAGGAAATCATGTGTAATGAAAACACATATCTAACTTGCGGAAATTTCTTGAAAACATCGGATGTACTCACTTGAAAAATCCTTTTTTTCAAATAGAGAATTTTTTTTTCTATTTAAACTCTTATTTTTCTTTATTTTTCTTTATTTTTCCCACTAAATTCCAAAAGCTTTCCCCAATATTAAGCAGAGATATGTACCAAAGGTTTTCTCCTAGCTGGCGAGGCAGGACAATAGTCAAAACAAACTTTACAGCACAACTATGCAAGGACACTTGGACTTTTTCGTATTTGCATCAATATTTAAGAATTTCCTCTAACCCGTAGGTAGAATTGTAGGCTAGCATAAATTCATTATAGGAACACCGTTCAAAATTAAAAGTTAACTTCACTATGAAAAATATGGACAGACATGAAAAGACACGCCTTCTTTGACGCTGTCTTTTCTCCGTGCTGCTGACAGTCAAAACACATGCCTACTCTTCACGCCAAGATTTCAATTTTTCAAAATTTCAACCGTAAGAAACTGTAGCTCCTTTTCTAATAAAAACTCAAATAAATGGATGCCGCATAGTTGAGCAGAACTCTGGATCCTATTTTGTTCGAAATTTGAGTTGAAGATGCAATAGGATCGTACTTATTTTTAAACTGAAACCTACTATTAGGTTAAAGTTAAAGAAAAAAATAAAATAAAAAATTATTTGATAATTTATATAAATTTTTTATCTTAAAATAATTTTAAAACTCAAATTGCAAATAAATTGTTTGATATTTGTGTAATACATTTCTCGTGTTAGGTGAGCAAAAATTATTATATATATGGTTTTAATGTTTCTATAGTAAATGTAGATAAGTTACTTATATTCACTGCTAAAATGATATCGTTTTTGATTGAAAAATTAAAAAATTATAATGAAAATGACTATTATAATCCTAAAATAAATTATAATTAAAAAAAATCTGAATTTCTGCTTCAAAACGGTGTCGTTTTGGACTCAATGTAGATAAGTTGTCTACATTCACTATAAAAAAATGAATCATATATATATAGGAGGAAACATTTCTGCAGCCGTTTTAGATAAGGTTATCCATAACCACCATTTTTAACTATGTTCTCCCAGGAGAACATAGTTATAACAGTAAAGTTGCTTTTTTTCCTCTCTTTTTAGTTACTTTTCAGAACTTGTTTACTGACGTGGAGAGAGAAAACAAACAACTTTAATGTTATAACTATGTTCTCCCAGGAAAACATAGTTAGAAATAGTGGCTGTAGATAACCTTATCTAAAGTGACTGTAGAAATATTTTTCTCATATATATGGGGTAAACATTTCTGCAGCCACTTTAGATAAGGTTATCTACAACCATCATTTTTAACTATGTTCTTCCAGGAGAATATAGTTTTAACAGTAAAGTTGTTTTTTTCCTCTCTCTTCAGTTACTTTTCAGAACCTGTTTGCTGATGTGGAGAGAAAGAAAAAAACAATTTTAATGTTATAACTTTGAAACTTATTTTTTTCTAGTCCCACCTTTTTTTTTTCTTTCTCTCTTCTCAATAGGTCTCATCTATTTTTTTTATGTGTATGAAATTATTTTGTTTTATGTAATATGAGAATGTATTCCTCTGTTTTTAATTAAAATTATCAGAATAAGTATTTGAAACCTATTTTATTTACATAAATAAAAATATAATAAGAAATAAAAGAAAAATATTTTAAAAAGATGAAAATTTTAAACGAAAACATATATTCAAAATTTTTAAAGCTTTGTTATTAGAAGAGAATTTCATCTAAAAAGATATGCTCAAAAAGATTTGGATGCATCAAATCATAGTAACAGATATGACTCTATTCTTTTTAATCACATTTACAACGTTTTGGAGGAGAGGAGAAAATCGAATAAATTATTATTAGGGTAGATGGTAAAATTTCTAAATATAAATTTGGAATAAGAATATAATTAAAAATGTATATATGTACGCCAAAAAAGTTGAGTACATAGTAAAAAAAATTCCTCCTTACAGTTTTTATTTTTGATAAATAGCTTTTAATTTTTTTATTTATTATAAAAAAGTCTTTTTTATGATAATAGCTTTTATAAAAATATATATTTACTTAGGCTTCCCATCCTAAGAGGACAAGTTTAAAAAAAATCCGGCCAAATAAGTATTGAGTGAGTGATTTCTAAGGCTACTTTTATATATCTAATAATGGATGTGATCAAATCCTATTGTATTTGTACATACCATGACGATGTTCCTCTACTAGTGATTTAATGTAGCTTTAATCCATGTGTATTCATTGGAACAAGTTGGAGATGTACTAAACATTTCGATGCTCAAATCAAATTTTGTGTAAATAGAATTTATTTATATAACAAAAGATATGTATGTTTGGTTAATATAATTATATTTATAGTGGAGAGATGGCCAATTTTGATAGATGTCCCTTATTACTGCTTAAAAGTGATGAGATAGCATGTCTTTCAATTAATCCTTGTATAGGTGGCCTGAGATGGCCTTTGTAGAAGAGTTGCAAAAGTTGTTGGGACAACCTTTATTGACTGAGACATCATATTGGAGATACTTTTTTTTTTATGACGAAGGCTTTAAATATGGATCTTATATATATCATTCCGATGAAGATAAAATATGATATGATCAAAAGAAATAAAATTATTATACTATTGTTTAGAGATTTTTTTTGAATAAAAGGGTGAAATTTATATTTTATTGTTTGACAAGCAATCAAAATGATAACACAATTAGTAAATGGTAAATTAATTCTACGATATATCCCAGATTAGGAGCAAGAAAAATAGAGATTATTAAATAGAACTGGGTGGGAATGGATTTTATAAAGTTACAAACCATTCTACTTCATTTTAAACAATTCAAATAATAGCAAGTAATATCATTTCATTTCTCTTAATTCTAGCCCTTTTATGGAATGAGATTATGAGATATTTATTCTATGCAATTTTTTATCTTAACAAATGCGAAAATTAGTTTTACTTTCAAATAAAACATGAAATAAATTCACCTTTGTGCATACGAAACCAAATGTAATATTGGTTCCTAGCTCTATTTGATTAATTATTGTATCTCAAATTTTCTTTTTACTCTGCTAAACTTGTATTGCCAACTAAGTTATATTTCTCAGATAAAATAAAATTAAACTTTTTTTTTTTTGGAGAAAGGAAGAGGTTGTGAATTGAAGATGTGTTATTGCATTAAAGTCAACAAGAGGAGTTGCTTTGCTTTGATTCATCACAACCAATAATTACGACTTCCACTCTAACTTGCACGCTCGCTCACTCACTAGCCGCACTCCAATTCTTAAAATCAAAAAACGGTGCTGGTCTTGATGTGACGTCGTTTCACTCCGCTCCAATCCACCTTCCCCAGAATCACCATCACCATTCACCACTAACTCCTATTCCATTCCAACTTCTAAGTTCTAAACTCTCAATTCTTCTGTTTTATTCAAACGAACCTCCACTCTCTCTTTCTCTCTCTTCTTTCTCTCTCTAAATATGGACCAACAACAACAACAACAACAGCGCCACGTCAGCAGCAGCGGAACTTATAATCCCGTGCTCCGCTGCCCCACTATGCGGACCACCTTCACCCTCCCCTTCGCTCGCCTCATCGCCGCCGACCGCCGCCGCATCTTCCTCTCCGACTGCACCGACCGAGGATCGGACGATGACTTCGACGGCGAAAACTGCGCGTATTCGAGGCCCTTGCTGGTTCTGGACTTGGTGTGGAACCTGGCTTTCGTCGTGGTGGCCGCCGGCGTGCTTCTATCCACTCTCCGCGAGCGACCGTCCACTCCGCTGAGGCTTTGGCTCTGTGGCTACGCCTTCGAGTGCGTTCTCCATATGGCTTTTGTGTACTTCGAGTATCGCACCGCAATTCGCGATTCTTTGTCTCACACTCCCTACAGGTAACTCTACTTCTTTTCCAATTCCTCTGTCAACTGAAGAATTTGATTAGATAGTAGATACCAATAAAAGTTCCTTTTTAATTTGTAATTTTCATGAATGTTATGTGCTTTCTTTGATGAATACGATAGAATTTTTGTGTGCTTCCTCTTTCATTTTACATATTTTTTTAGTAGCGTTTTTTTCTTCTTCTTCTTCTTACGGTTTGATGAGAAATTTCGAATTGTTTTTGCGTTTTGGTGAACTTTTTCGATGTGTGGATTAAGTGCTTCGCTTTCTTTTGGGATGGAGCTGAGTCTCATAAAGTGACTTTATTCACTATATATCTTTAATTCTTGATGTCTGAATCATGAGTAGCTCTGTGATGTTGTTAGCCATTAGACATTTGATGGTGTTGGATTGTGCCATGATGATGCATTATTAGTAGTGGATGAACTTGAAATTAGAGAGTATGCTGAATTCTGTGTCTAAGCCAGACCACCCAAGGGTATAATTATATTAGCGAGGTATAAATTACTGTCATAATCACAATAGCAATTACCATCTAAAATTGCTCATGGATAATTATTGTTGTGGAAATTGTGTATTATCAATAAGAAGAGAAAGGTTACAGTGTATTTCTCAAGAGTCTTATTTTCCAGATTCGAATATGTGACTTTTTAGTCACAACGGAACAACTTTATCACTACTCCAAGCTCTCCCTTTTCAAAACTGTAAACTAATAAATACACAAAATCAATCCTAATCAATATTGGGGAAATACGGAAAACTAATTCTAATTGATTCCTATGAATTGGGGATACATTTCCTTAAATATGAAATACTTACAAGGGTTTCCAACAATTGTGTATTGGAAGGATCTGACCTGTCTTTTTCATGTGTTGAGGACTGAGTGATTGATGTTCAAGGTGTTATATGAGAAGAAAAATGATTTTTCTGTTGTCGTGTGCTTTGGTTTTCATTCCTTTACATTGGCAGATGATTGAAATTTCATTTCACTCTATTCTTTATTTCTTTCAGCATTGTGAAGAAGTTAGAGCCTATGAACACTCTAGCATCATCTGTTTGGTGGGTGTTTGGATTTTATTGGATTGTTGTGGGTGGCCAAGCACTTCTGGAAGATTCTCCACGTCTCTACTGGTAAGAACCTTAGGGTAAAGTTGGAGTTGGGGGGGTGGGGGATAACAAAAGAATGCCAAAAAAGCATAATCAAAGTAGTCAATATTTGTACAACTGGGTAACCTTCTTTGTCTTTATGTAAAACAGCAGTTTAGAAGAGAAACAAGAACTTTTATTGGGATTGAGCCTCTTGTTTCAGACTCGGGCTTTGTCAAAATACACAGCTCAAAACCAGAATAAATTATAATATAATTTATCAGTATTTTACTAATTCAATACTTGTTTTCTTCATCTTCTAACATAGACAGCTCTTATCTAACATGGTTCTTCAGTGTTATGTTTTCTAACATAATTTATTGGGTGTATAGATTGCTCAATGATGTATTTATCACATTCTTGCAGGTTAACGGTGGTCTTTCTAGCCTTCGACATATTTTTTATTATCTTTTGTATTGGGATGGCGTGTATAATTTTCTTTGCTATCTTCTGCATCATCCCAATAATAGCGTTAGCTTATGCTATAAGAATCAGGGAAGGTGCATCGGAAGAAGATATCAGGTCACTTCCGAAGTATAGGTTTAGTCAGTCAAATTCATTGGTGATGGTTGATGACAACAAGATGCCACTTGTTAGAGCAAGAACCGATTCATGCAATGGAGGCCATATCCGTGAACTTTTTCTCCATCCAGAAGATTCTGTGAGTACTCACTGTGTCTTCTCATATCTCCCATCCCATTCAGAAGTGTTAATATCATTTTGTTGGTTGTAACTTGTAACTGACTGTCTGTCTTTTCATTTAAAATTTTATTCCCTTTAACTGCCTCATTTGATTTTTGTGTTATTCTGACATTTGATCTAGTATATCCTTCGTTAATTACTCATTTTTGTTGCATTTCTTCTTTGTTCAGTGCATCTAACTTGTTCATGCTTAAGTTTTTGTAAGGAACTGGAATTTTGCTTTTTAGAGCTCTATCAGCTTTGACGAAGGTTCATGTTAAATATCAATGTCCATTCTTTAGTGTTGGTCTAAATTGTTAAGGCTTTAGCCCATTGGGTTGGGTGGTTCTCTTACAAGTTATCTCGACAACCTTTTTTATATCCTTTTTTTAACATTATTTTTGGTCCGGGGATTGTCATGTTTATTTTACATTGGATATAGACTTTGTTATAGCCGTAGACTCGTAATACTGGGTAGTGTAGGAGTGGGAAGAGAATTCATGAAAAGGGTGGCGCATGTAAGTAATGGGAGCATTTAATACAGGAGACAAATTTTGGGGTATTTTTTTTGTGTTTAAACCATTTATTCATCTTCTTTGGAGTGTTGGGTAATATAATCATAACAATAATTAAAGAATGGTCATAATCACATAGTGGATTTGTATTTATTCTCTAATAATCACAGTGTCTACACTGCTACCCACCATCCTCTTATAGCGCAGTTTTGGGTCAGCCGACGCAATCCTCTGGATTTAATATTCATCTCCAAAGTGTTATCCTGATTCATCTAGATTTGCTTGAAACTATTTATTTTTCTTGGGTGAAAATTGACATTGTGAACTTATTATGGCCTGAAAATTGCTTATCATGATTCTTTGCTGCATGTCATACAATTGAAATACATTATGAAACTACTGGATGAGAATTAAACTGTTTCTGATTATGTTGTAGGAATGCTGTATCTGCCTATGTCCATATGTTGATGGAGCAGAACTGTATCGCCTTCCCTGCTCCCATCATTTTCATTGTGGATGTATCAGCCGATGGCTTCGGACTAAAGCAACCTGCCCGCTCTGTAAATTTAACATCCTTAGAGGTGATACCTTGGTTTGACCCCTCCTTGAGACAAAGATTGGACGACACACTGAGGGCAGTATCATCCAGAAGGCACATGACTCTGGAGAGCCAAAACATTTGCTAATGTTCTGACAAGTGTTGGTAAATAAGTAGAGAAGAAAAGGAAATGCTCCGACCCTTCATCTTTTACCGGGTTCTAATCTTAGGATTTCAGTTTTCATAAAGATCTTTCATCTTTTGAGTAGAATGTTCTTAAGTTTATGATGGGGTATGTATATATGGTTAGGCCCGTGGATAGGGTCTCCCCTATAATTTGTACTTATGCGGCGTTACAAAAACAATTTCTGTATAGTAATTTTTTTTTTTTGAGCTCTTTCCCCATCTCCACCCACAAACAAATTCAAGACTACATATACCCCTCAAACCCCGAAAATAGTGGGATGGGAAAGGGAAAAGGGGATTAGGAATCAACATAAAATTGACTATAGGTTTGCGGTCGGACTTTGGAGTACTATTAAACAATGCACTTAGCCATTTGTTCACTGAAAATAATGAACTCAGAATTCGGTTTTCCTCAGATTTACTCCAAAAAATTTGATCAACAAAAGATGGATATTGCATTTGGTAAAAGCAAGATATTGAGGACATTATTCACTGGCATCAGAAGACAGCATTCATTCCATTCCTCAACTTTCTTCTGAATTAAATGATAGAATTTGCTCTTTATTTCTTCACTGATTTTTATTTTCTTTTTTCATTATTTGACTTGCACATAACTTGGAGAACATATTCACATGCCATACAAAACCGGCAAAATGGTATCAATTGGACATCCAAATAGACCAACCATTTCGTCTATAAAGGTTATGGTGGCATGGATTCCAAATCAAACACCTATTTCAATTTCAAATTTAGAACAAATTGGTAACTGCAAATTAAATTAATTTCTGTACAGCAATGCTTTTTCGTTGAGTACATTTTCGCCGCCTTCACCCACAAATAAAATCAATACTAGATTACAGAAAATAGTGGTATGGTAATGAGGAAGGGGGGGCGCATAAAACTTGACTACAAGTATAAGTTTTGGAATATAGTATTAGATATTGTAATCACCATTTGACTGTGAACAAAGCTAATAATTTTTAGGATTAGTGAAAGCAATCTTAAGTTTTTCGTTCCCGATGCTATGCCACATAGCGCTTCTCTCCCGATTGGCAACTACTAAACTTTGAATCTTAAACAAAATGTCTTCGAATTGCTTTGTGATCGAGTGCAATCTGGCAAGCATGAAGAGGACAAAATGCCAGGAGCACCTTGTAAGAGTGTTAGCTATCAATTATGACTATTTTTAATGGCTTAGTTTTTATAATATTTGAGGTGAATGCTGGATATTAGTGCATGGTAATGGGCCAAATGAGTACCAATCAGCCCAAAGGTAAAAAAAAGAGAGAAAGAGGTAATTTGATGATTTACTATTCTCTTTTGTTATTTTTACTGCAGTTTGAAAGCAAGATCAAATCTGAACCATTGGATGGACAAAGAGATGGATGGACAAAGAGATGGATGGACAACAATGCATTTTGAGGCAGCTTTATAATTTTTAGTTAAATAGGAGTCTGAGTCATTTTAGGGTCAGAGACCGTACTTGTTAGTTTCAGTTTTACGTTTAGAATCTTTGTATTTTCTCTCTTCGAATCTGAGTGTTAAGAAATTGTCTTGAAAGCTGGTGCTTGTTCTTCAATTCTTGATCTCGAAGTGCATTGACAACGCAACTTCAAGGAAAGGAACCACGGATCTGCATACGAGCTACTGTTTTCACATTTCTGATCTTTTTCTTCCTAGCTCTAGTTTAGGAACTTTGACTCGTTAAGAACCGGTTTGTAACTTTACCTTGAGTTTTCTTTCATGAATGTTTGTGATGCATGTTTCTTTACTTTTAGATTTGTAATATTTTTGAATATGGGTTTCTGATCTTTTCCTCTCTGGGATTCACAATGATTGGGTGAGTCTTTATTTTTCTGAACACTGTGATGGTTTGCTTTAGTTTCATTTGATTAGCAAGATTTTGATTTTAAGTTCAAGAACACCATGGGAATGGATCTTGGAGTAATTTTTGCATAACTGTGATTGGGAAATCAGGTTATGTCCCTTGTTAATTGAACCCTTGAGGTTAGGGATAACCCAAGGAGGTATTTGATATAATTTTTAAAGATTTAGAAGACTTTGGGAAAAGATCCTTCTAAAGATTAAAATCTGGAACTGGGAAGTTTCAGATAAAACAGCCATAGTAATTCGAATTCTGATACTAAAGTGTCGTAGCAGCTAAAAAACGCAGGAATGCAAAATTTTTCCTTCATCCATGATTCAAAGAATTCCAGAACCTTATAATTGATACATTTGTGATTAGATATCTCTCTGTTAAATTTTGTTTAATACAAATCTGATAAACACCTCGTTTCATTTAGAATTTTCTTAGTTTTAAAAGATTGATCACTTAATTTCAAGAAATTAGAAATAGGAATTAAAAAAGGAAAACTAAACAAACCGTTCCCTGAGAACGATAACTCTTTCTTTTGAAAATTACTACCAACAAAATGGCGCCGTTGCCGGGGAACGGTGTTTGATTTAGTTTCTTTTTAAAATTCTGTCTTTTAGTTCTTGAATTGGTTTTCTTTCATTTTCATTTTTAATTTTTCTTGAACTTACATTTTCCTTGTAGATTTTGCAGATCAATAATTTTTTACTGTGAAAATAGATTGATACACTTAGCATTCTGCCAAATCGAAAAAAAAAAAAAAAAAGTTTGGTTGTTAAACACTCTACAGGGGAATCACAATGGCATTGGCAGCTCAACTCGCAGCTTTGCGTAACACAATGAAGGATTTGGTCATGGTTATGGAAGAATCCAAGCAACCAGCCCCAGCTTCAATAGTTGCTACAGCACCTATATGCTCACTTTGCTATGGTGCTCATCTATTTGAAGAATGCCCCAACAACCCAACATTGGTTCTTTATATGGGAGGCTTCAACTACAATTACAACAACCACAACCAATTTGATCAGCAGGGATGGCTGAACCAAGGATGTAATTTTGCCCAAAATCAAGGCCAAAGTTACCTATACCAGCAGCCTTATCATGGATGGCAGCAGTCATTTGAACCAGATGAACCTTACTTACCTTGTTTTGTGCAGTCTCCTTTTGTTGAACAGCTAGAGCAACATGTTGCAGAAGCTCAACCTCCAAATGAGCAGTGGATGAATCAAATGCTAGAAAATCATGAAGTTATGCTTCAAGGTCATGGAGCTATCTTGAAGAGCCTTGAGATACAAATGGGGCAGATTGCTTCTGCCCTTAGTAGTAGACCTTTGGAGACACTACCAAGTGACACAAAAATACCTAAAAGGGATGGAAAAGAAGTGTGCAAAGCCCTCAACTTGAGGAATGGACAGCAAGTGGATAACTTTGTTACAGCCCAACCATCAACCACTCAATCCTCACCTCAAGACAAAGATGATGAAGAGGAAAACATTGTTGAACCAGTAAGTGCAGCAATGAAATCAAATGAATTAGACAAGCCTATGCACAATATTGAGGCTCATCAACCTATATCAAAGGCAAGACAGATCCCTTCTCCTCAAAGACTCCAAGAGCAGCAACAGGAGCACTGTCTCTCCAACAATTTGTCAGCTAAGCTGGAAAATCCAGGTTCTTTTACAATAACTCCTCAAATAGCTGATAGGTCACTTGCACACCATGATGGAAAAATAGAGAACAAATCAGTGAAAGTTTATAGGTTTATTTTTCCAGCAAATTTCATAATAGTTGATTTTGAAGCTGACAAGGATGTGCCTATTATATTGAATAGGCCATTCTTAGCTATGGAGAATGCTATAATTGATTTTAAAATAGGAGAACTAACCATGGGAGTTAATGAGGGAAAGATAACTTTTAATGTTTTAGAAGCCATGAATTTCATTGATGAAGATTCTAATGATTGTTCTGCTATTTCTGTTTGGGATCATCTGGTTAATGATAATGTGTTTTTAAATAGTAAAAATACCAACTTAGGCGAAGGCAGCTTCAATCATATAGAGTCTAAACCAACCAACCCACTCTTGAAAGATTTGATTCAAAAGAAAATAATCAATTGGTTGGATACAGGACAAATTGTTCTGAATTTCAAGATAAGAATCAAATTGTTTCCGTGCAAGATTCAATGGGTAAAGCATTATTGGAGCAGACATGTGAACAAAGAGAAGACTTTTATTTCTTTATTGGATACTGGCTGAAACATTAAATAGGATTTAAGTAGTGGTTAGTTAGTTAGTTTGTTATGTTTTGTTTAAGTCTTCGTATTTTTTTTATTTTTTTTTACAAGTGTGTTTGTGTTTTAGTTCCACGAAGGAGTTTTGTTTGTGTTACAGTCCATGTGTAGTGTTGTCCTCTTTAAGCCAATGGAAATTTGTTCTGAGATGAAAAAAAAGGAGTTGACTGAAGACCTTAGTTAAGCTAGGCTTATAATGTGAGTGTGCATTTTAAGAGTGAGCGAGTTATTAAGTTTGGGGTAAGTAAATATTGAAAATAACAAGTCACTTGAAGGGAATAAGAGTGTGCGCGTGGCTTGGTAATAATAAAAAAGGAGAGTGAGAAGCTTGAGTTTATAACATTGATTGTTCACTTGAACCTTTGTTTGAGTGTTTGATCCTTTTAAGTTCATTTGCCCAGCAATCTGTTAACTGAAAGATAACACGTAAATGGGTAGGACTTTACATTTTGATCAAACTATCTGAGACTAATAAACCCATTAAAATTAAGTTGAGAAGAAACAAGTGTGTTATGGGCTGCTACAAATTATATGGAGCTTAATTCTACATGAATAATTTTTTTTAGCCCAATAGTGTTTAGCCCATTACACTCTTAACACATTTTATCTTTTCAAAACAGACAATGGTCAGATTATTATTATTTTTTCCCATTATTTTCCTCTCTCTTCCTTCTTACCTCTCTTCTTTCCCAATCACTTATGCACAAATCAATCTCAACTATTTGATCTAGTTAGGAGATTAGCTGAATACAAAGGTATTTCAGACGATGGTTTGAACCATTATTGTACCTCTGAAAATAGTCCAGTAACCTGTAAAAGGCATTACAAGGCAGTGACATGACTTATCCCTGCATAAGTCATATATAGTACTATCCCAAGAAAAAGAAAACCCCATATCTCTCTTTCTTCAAGTTCAGCCGAGAATACCCATTTTTTTTTAGTTGCTCTTCACCGCCTTGTTTGCTGTCGATTTAGCTGCATAGGGGTTGATATTGCGGTGGGTTTCATTTTCGTCCAAGCTCAAGCGAGAACCTTTGGATTTCATTACATACAGATCTTGGTTCGTTTCTCTCAAATTCTCCTCACCGCTGTGCGAACTCGGGTATGTTCAATAAAAAAAAATTTGATTTTGCTTTTAATTTTATTCTTTTGATCCTGTGTACCATTATTCCCTTTGATAGACAAACCATTAGTCCGATCGTTTGGGTTCTAATTTTTATTTTATTTTTATTATATTTAGGACTTTTTTTTGTTTTTTTTATTTTTTTTTATTTTTTTTTCTGAATTGTAATAATTTTTTTTGTTTGGGTTTGATTTCATGTGAGGAATTTTAATTTTAATCTTTATATTTATATTTTTATTTATTTTCTTTTCTTTTCCTTTCACTTAAACCACTGTTGCATTTTTGCTTTGAGTTATATCCTATTTTTCTTTTCCTTGTCTGTATACTCTCAACTCTATCTTACCTTTATCTGACATGTTGTGAGAAATGAAAACAACAATATTGCCAAGAAATGTAGGTACTCCCTGATTTTGCGATTTTGCATGTGCCTGTGAAATGTTTCATCTCAAAATATATTTTTATTTTATCTTACATGAGTGGTATGTCTAATTTTCTGAATATGATATTTTTGTTAAATTACTGTCATTTATAGGTGTTTGTTTCTCTGTTGTAACATTGACGATAGACACACGCATTTGTATGTATTCATGCATTTATAATTGTTATCACCATGTGCTTAATGACCATATTGAAAACCATTGTAATCCAATGCTATATTTCCTAATGGATTTCAGGCTTTGGTATTAGAGGTATGTGATGAGACTAAATCGCCAAAAGGAGATAAATTAGAATGCATCAAATTAATTATGGTAGAATGAGTTGTTGTATTTTGAGTTAAAGCTCTTTGATTAAAATTCTTCTATAAATGCATACAGTCCTTGTTATAATACAAATAAGACGTGTGCATTTTGTGTTGAAATTATTACAGCCCTCAACTATCCATTTACATCAACAGTTTTATTTGATTATCTTGAGTATTCAAATAAAATTGTAAATGTGTTTCTTATATTCTGTAAATGCTTTATTTTATTTATTTATTTTATTGTTGATTCCTTTTGAGATATTTCTGAGTGGCCTTTATTTATTAACAGATTCATTTTCTTTCTATTTGCTCACTGATTCATATTTCAGTACAACAGCAGCCCAATCTCTTGTTGGTACCCAGGTTCTTAATTTAATTATTATAATTTATTTATTTATTTATTTATTTATTTTTTCAATTTATTGTTTTTATATATATTTATGTTCTGCTGTGAGGACCCAACTTGATTTTAAGTTTGGGGTGATTAATTGCTATTACCATTTCTTTGCTGATTGGTCCATAAAATTATATAATTCTCTCTGTTCTGTGCTGATTTTATTTGAGTGGTAACATGGAAATAATTTATAGCATGATGTGTTTAACATTATCACTGATTAAGTATAGCCAGATTTAATTAAATTAATTCCGAGTCAATTAAGGATCTATGCTTAGTTGATAAGTAGTTATATAAGCTGCAAATCAAATTTACAAGCCATAATTTTTTGTGATCCTTAATTTGATGATTCACTGAAAACCCACTGATTAACAACCCATGTGAGATATTTGAACCTAAACACTCTATTCATTTGTGAGTGGTCATTGTGCATTGGTGCTTTGAATACTGCACTCTGTTTGGATGACTAATATGCTATTTCTGTGTGATTGGGGCATTGTTTCTGAATGTATAGCCTAGAGCCAAAAGCCTTACCCTTTGATTATATCCCTTGGTCCCTATATTTGAGCCTGAGACCTTTCTTTTCTGATCATGTACCCTGATATTATGAGCCAATTTCCTTGTCCACCTTGTATAGCTGTTTTAGTATTTAGCTACTTCTCATTAGCTCAGAAATACAATAAGCTAAATGAGGCAAAATGAAATTGGTTGTAAAAAAAAAAGGGAAAAAAAAAGAAAAGAGGATCAGGAGGTAAAAAAAAATCGAAGAAAAAAAGGAACAAGTGATTTTATAAAAAAAGTTCTCTGTTTAAAAAAAAAAAAGGAGATCTCTGAGCTTGCCGTAAAAAAAGAAAAGAGGAAAAAGGCAAAAGTAAAAAAAATTGTGAAGGTGCTCAATAAAAAAAAAAAAGAGAGAAAGAAGTTATAAAAAGGGGAGAAGAGAGTCACTAATTTCCCTTTGTCTTGTTTAGGCAAAAATCAGAAAGAGCTAATGAGGACTAGTTAGACACTAAGGGTTAGCTTAATTAGCCAAGTGACTAGAAAAACAAAGATCCTAGCCCTGCCTCATTACAAGCCTTAAAGACCCTTTGATGGAGATAGCATATTGGACTTCAAGTTTCTAAATGGTAGTGTAGGTTGAAAGCATTCATGCATAATGACAATGAGTGACCTCCCTTATAAACAGGAGAGAGTATGAATGATTGAATGTATCTGGCAAGAAATTCAGTGGAATTTCAATTGAATCATTTTAAGTTAAGGGTTGCAACTAAATGAATGAGCATGAATTTTTGATTGAATGTTTATGTAATTGCTGATTGACTGGAGTTGGGTGATTAATTGGTTGTAGGAATTGGTTGACATTAAACCTGGTCAAAGCTTTAAGAAGAGTGATGTTTTGCACGGATGGCTGATTTAATTTAACTAAGTTATTGTAATCATATCTGTGTTGATATCTAACTTATGAGTGAAGTTTGTCTGATTACTTGAGGGCAAGTAATTAATTAAGTTTGGGGTATTTTGTTAGCTATCAATTATGACTATTTTTAATGGCTTAGTTTTTATAATATTTGAGGTGAATGCTGGATATTAGTGCATGGTAATGGGCCAAATGAGTACCAATCAGCCCAAAGGTAAAAAAAAGAGAGAAAGAGGTAATTTGTGATTTACTATTCTCTTTTGTTATTTTTACTGCAGTTTGAAAGCAAGATCAAATCTGAACCATTGGATGGACAAAGAGATGGATGGACAGCAATGCATTTTGAGGAAACTTTATAATTTTTAGTTAAATAGGAGTCTGAGTCATTTTAGGGTCAGAGACCGTACTTGTTAGTTTCAGTTTTACGTTTAGAATCTTTGTATTTTCTCTCTTCGAATCTGAGTGTTAAGAAATTGTCTTGAAAGCTGGTGCTTGTTCTTCAATTCTTGATCTCGAAGTGCATTGACAACGCAACTTCAAGGAAAGGAACCACGGATCTGCATACGAGCTACTGTTTTCACATTTCTGATCTTTTTCTTCCTAGCTCTAGTTTAGGAACTTTGACTCGTTAAGAACCGGTTTGTAACTTTACCTTGAGTTTTCTTTCATGAATGTTTGTGATGCATGTTTCTTTACTTTTAGATTTGTAATATTTTTGAATATGGGTTTCTGATCTTTTCCTCTCTGGGATTCACAATGATTGGGTGAGTCTTTATTTTTCTGAACACTGTGATGGTTTGCTTTAGTTTCATTTGATTAGCAAGATTTTGATTTTAAGTTCAAGAACACCATGGGAATGGATCTTGGAGTAATTTTTGCATAACTGTGATTGGGAAATCAGGTTATGTCCCTTGTTAATTGAACCCTTGAGGTTAGGGATAACCCAAGGAGGTCTTTGATATAATTTTTAAAGATTTAGAAGACTTTGGGAAAAGATCCTTCTAAAGATTAAAATCTGGAACTGGGAAGTTTCAGATAAAACAGCCATAGTAATTCGAATTCTGATACTAAAGTGCCGTAGCAGCTAAAAAACGCAGGAATGCGAAATTTTTCCTTCATCCATGATTCAAAGAATTCCAGAACCTTATAATTGATACATTTGTGATTAGATATCTCTCTGTTAAATTTTGTTTAATACAAATCTGATAAACACCTCGTTTCATTTAGAATTTTCTTAGTTTTAAAAGATTGATCACTTAATTTCAAGAAATTAAAAATAGAAATTAAAAAAGGAAAACTAAACAAACCGTTCCTGAGAACGATAACTCTTTCTTTTGAAAATTACTACCAACAAAGAGTTAACTCGCCTATCAGCCCAAATGAAAATGAGTTAACCAGAGTTCGGTTTTGATTAGATTCACTCCAAAAATTTGGAACAAGAAAAGATGGTAATTACATTTGGGAAAAACAAGATACAGAGTTAATTATACATATTGGCATCAGAAGACAATGATAGAATTTGCTATATTCTGATTTGTTTACCCATTACTTAACATACAAACAGCATTAAGAAGATATACCAAAGCTATATAAACACAGCAAAATGGGACATAAAGATGAAGGGGGGCAGGGATTCCAAAATCCAACCCACTATTTCAATATTGGAACCAAACTGCGGACAGCTCAATAAACTAAAATTCATGATTGAAAATTAACAAAATTGTCAAAATACACAAGACATTGTGGTTGGGCAAATAACAAATAACAGAAAACAATAAAGGCAGAACTAGAATAATAACCAGAATCAGGACATGAAAATTGTGGTTTTTATATCAGACATTCTGCAACTTCTTCATCTTAGAAGGTGGCCATCTACCCTTCTTCCTCAACTTCCTTTTCCTCACAAGTCTTTTCCTCTTCAACCTTATCTTCATTGCCAGCTTCATCCTCAGCCTCTGCTCCTCCCTCTCCTTCAGCTTTGATTCCAATGGAAGCTTGTCAACCTGAACAACCTCTTTCTTGCTTTCAGAAGGAGGAAGGGACTGGGACCCACCACCACCTTCTTCTTCTGCTGACGTGGCTCCATCTGCACCATCACCATCAGCAGCAGCAGCTCCAACAATCATCCCATCACTCCTCCTTTTTGCAACGAAGGGTGTCCAGATTCGAACACCCTTCAAACACCTTCTGGGCAAAGCAACGTGTGCTCTTGAAACTGACATACCCAACAACACAGTTCGAGAAAGTTAAGGGGGAAACAATACAACAATTGTATTTCGGAGAAATTAAGGGGAAAAAAATAAAATAAAAGAAGGAAAAATCAAAATTTGTTACTTACTTGGGGCGGTGCCAACTGCAAAGATGGACGAAGAAGAAGACGGAAATGATGAATGGGGAATGGTAAATTTGAAGGAATTGAAACAGAGAAGAGCCATGTTTTTGAGTAGGGTCTCAATTTCTCATGTTATTTGTGCAAATGAAAGTGTAGGTTTTTGGATAAGACACAGCAATGTCTCCTCCACCCACTGTCCCAGCTTGCCCATAAGCTCTTGTGTTTTATGACCAAGTTAAAAAGGTTAGGGATTACAACATCAATTTCAAATTAGTTTAGTTTTATGTTAAGAAAATATTTTGAAATTGCTATTGAATTATTGTTAAGGATATTAATCAAATAAAAAATAATTGTCATGTATATAAATTATTAATACAGAGAAGGATTATACTTATAACATATTTTTGTTTACAACCTCTTACAACTATATTTTAATAGTTAATTTCCGTCAATCAACAGTTATCATTTATTGTGAATCAATAATTAATTAATAAGTTTGATTTGCGAAAATAATAACCGTTGATTGGCAGAAATCAAATGTTAAGATATATAGTTGTAAGATGTTATAAACGAAAATATGTTGTAAGTATAATCTTCTTCATTAATATAATGTTTTTAGTCTTTACACATGAAACATATTATTGTAGAATAACATTTTGAAGATGAGAGTGTTCGCACAAATAATTTTCAGGATTAATGTTTCTTATATTATATGAGATAATTTTATTTTTTACATATATAAAAATATGTGAGACTCATGTGATCTCATATGAAAAGAAAAGAAAATACGAGCCACCATATATTTTTATATGAGTGTAGTAGATGAAATTATCTCCTACAACATAAAAAATATTAATCTCCTAATTTTCAATATAATTAATTGAATCTTAAGAAGAGAAAGTCAAAACGGATTGAACTCGTCAAGTCAACTCATGAATCCACCAAAATGAAGGGACTGTTGAATTGTGTATTTTAACCCACCAACTCAAATAACTTGCCTATAGCTACACAGATTAAAAAGGGTTATTGGTGTGGCGAGTCGAGTAAGCCTACATATAATTTTTAATATATATATATATATATATATATATATATATATATATATATATATATATATTAAATGTTAGAATATGACTTAATTGGTCTATATGAGTGACTATTGTGTGAGATAAAATCTTTTCTTTTAGGGCTATAATATTATTATATTCCCACAAATATTGTTATTTATTCACTTTTAACTTAAATTAACACAAGAAATAAAAGAAACTTAAGTTTGTTTTGGATTTAATTACTAGTATCTATACAAATCAAACTAATTTTATGCAATTCAAGTTATAGGATGCAATGATATGTTCATCTGCAAATATTTACATATTTGATATCATTATTTTGTTATATTAAGACACTAAAGTTATTAATTAATCTTCATATATTATTTTTATAGTTATGTTAAATGAATTTATTAGTTTAAATCATTCTTTTTTCTTTAATTTATTGCTTGATACTTTTTTATGCTTGAGAAATATTTAGATGTTACATGTTTTATTTCCAGAAAAATATATATTTTGAGATGTAGGAAGAGTTGATCTGCTACTTGTTTCAAAATGAGTTGTTGGGTTGATATTTTCAACTCACACATTAATGGCGGATCAATCCATGCCGCCCCATTTTTACTGGTTAAAAGCGGATTGGGCCAAGTTGGCCCTTTTTTCATTTCTTTATATTATAGGCATAATAGGTTTTTAAGCTTTTCTGTATTTCTCTCCACAGGGTAATATAAGGAGACTTTGCTAAAAAAAAATTTCTTTTGGTAATGCAATTTTTTTTATCCGGTTTAGTGCTTATTTAATAACATATTTTTAAAATAAAAATATTACAAAAGCATTAAAAGAATTTTGAAAAGCAATTATTTTATTAATATATTTTCATATCTAGTTTTTAAATCAAATAACTAAATTTAAATTGCCGAACAATTCAAAACGAGATATTCAAGAAGTTCGACAATGATTTTTTTTTTTTTTTTTTTAACTTTCAAAATTTCCAAAACATTTTCATGATAATTTAGCATATCCATTATAACCATTATAGGGCCTCACATGCCCTGAAAAACGAAAGCCTAATAGGTAAAATTCCGTATTTTACAAACATAACATATCCCAGTTTTGCAACGTGTGCTCTTGAAACTGAAATACCCAACAACACAGTTCGAGAAAATTAAGGGGGAAACAATACAACAATTGTATTTCGGAGAAATTAAGGGGAAAATAAAAGGAAAAATCAAAATTTGTTACTTACTAGGGGCCGTGCCAACCGCAAAAATGGACGAAGAAGAAGAGGGAAATGATGAATGGGGAATGGTAACAGTAAAGGAATTGAAACAGAGAAGAGCCATGTTTTTGAGTAGTGTCTCAAATTCTCATGTTATTTGTGAAAGTATTGGTTTTTGGATAAGACACAGCAATGTTTCCCCACTAAGGGAAAAAAATTAATTTATTATAAATTAAATAAATAATTATGAATATATATTTGTTTTTATACTATTTATAAATCTATTGCAGGATATCATGCTTGGATTGAGCATGACCACTCACGTCTAAATTAGGCATGACCCACGAGGCACTCACGCCTAATTTAGGTGTGACTCATCTAGTGTTGACATATGACAAAAAAAGTTAACAATTTACCGTAAAACTTCGGAAAACCATAATTTTTGACTCGGGTATTTGAATCAGGTAATTTTTTTTTGATTCCACGTAACTTTTTGAGATCTACGCAAAGACACCTCATTTGACATATTTTATCTCTCACAAACACAGTTTAAATTTGCAACAAAAAGTTGAAACTTGATAAACTCGGTCTGAAGTATTTATCACATATTGGATAAGAAAGAAAATTAGACAATAACAAAGTAACGAAAATTAATCTCAATTACTAATACAAAGAGATCATAAAATATTATTTTATTTCAGATTTTGGCACATAAGTTTTATAGTAGTATCACATTTACGTGAAAATTATAAAACTAAATAAAAACAAATTCTTAACTCAATTCAAATGCTATATTTATGTAGCAAAAAACTATCCAAAGGTTGAAATCATAATGACAGATAGTAACAGAAACTTGCTAGAATATACCAATAATTTTTTTTGGGTTTAGCTGATGGGTCTTGGGTTTAGAATTTTTTGGACTATGATTGGAGAATAGGCCCAAGTAGCTAGAGAGCGTTAATATATTGGATTGGATCAGTTTTCACCAACCAAACCAAAAATCAATCCAATCCAATTAAAATTTGCAGGTTTATTTTTTTAGTTTTCAATTTTTTGGTTCGGTTACCGCGGTTTGAATCGGTTGAAAGTATTATACACTATTTTATATTTTGGACTTTCTTTTCCACAATATTAAACACTATTTTTTTCAAACACTTGGTAGAAAGTATATATTTTACTATGACATTAAGTATCCTTATTTATAGATGGACTAATATACTTTGGTGCCATCTTTAATTTAGATCACGACTTACAAGATAAAATTTCAATTCACAGTGATAAGAATACAGCCAATAGGATAGGGATATGGAGATTATAGTAGGCTGAAGAATGTGTTTAGTGTTGATTCAGAAAGAACTTGGAGGCTTCTAGGTTTAAACGCTCTTATAGTACCATTGTTGCAAATTCAAACTGTGTTCGTGAGAGATAAAATATGTCAAATAAGATGTCATTGCGTAGATCTTAAAAATTTATGTGGAATCAAAAAAAGGATTACCTGATTTGGATACACGAGTCAAAAGTTATGGCCTTCAAAAGTTTTACAGTTAAATTGTTAACTTTTTGTGCCACGTGTCAACCCCAGACGAATCACGCATAAATTAGGCTTGAGTGCCTCGTGGGTCACGCCTAACTTAGGTGTGACTGGTCACGCCCAATCCGGGTGTGACACACTGCAATACATGCGTAAATAGTTTCAAAATTGCAATAAATTCATAATTTTTTTATTTAATTTATAATAAGCCCTTCACTAGGGGTGATAAACGAATCAGAGGTCTTTGACTTGGCTTGTGAAAGTCTGGATTTACATGTCTAAAATGGATTGTTGGAACCAGACTTATTTGTATAAAAGCTCGTTTAATAAAAAGGCCTCAGACTTCAATTTAAAAGTTCGGTCTTAGAGCATCTCGGACTGACCGAGTATACTAACTTTTATTTTTATTTTATATTTTTTATACTAGTCATAATAACCTTTCCTCTCTCCTCAACCCATTTCACCATATTTTATTGGTTAAATGAACTTTTTAAATGATTTTGTTATATATTATTCTGTTTGGATATACATTGAATTTATAAATCTTTGTGAAATTATTAATGTTGTTGATCGCATATTTTGTTTGGATAAATTTTTGTTGTTTTATGTTTTTTTTAACAGGCTAAACCAAGCTTACATGTAACAGGTTAGACCAGACTAATATATTTAAACACAAGCTAAGTCTTTTAAGATCAAAGTTCGGCCAACTCGACCCGTTAACACCCGTATCCTCTACACACTGTTCTAGCTAGAGGTGAAAAACGGGCTCGACCGGAGCGCGCTAAGCCAGTCCACCAAGCCCATCCCACCACGGGGTAGGTTAGCCCATAACCCATTTTTTCCTTTTTATTTTACACCTGAACTAACCAAACTTAATTTTACTATTTAATTATAAAAGCCATAGAAAATTTACAGCATTTCTTTACTGTCTCAACTACTCAACGGCCATTTCAGGCTCTTGATTCCTCTCTCTCGTTTCAATTACAATTTCACTTTGAAACATTGTCTTCTAACTCTGTAACATCCCGTAGTACTCCGGTTGTTAACATACATGATATTTAGCATACGCAGCGGAAGACTTTATCTTAAAAGAATAATAAAGCGTCTTATAAAAATACGAGTAAACTTTTTCCAAAATATTTTCTAAAACATTTTCAAAGCGTTTATCTGATATATTGAATTAGCGTAACATTGACATCTAAGTCTACAAATAAAACCATCGGTCATCACTAGTGGCCGTTGACCATCCGGGTATGACCTCAAGTGTCATTCCTGACGGAGTCTTACGGACAACATAACGGCTGTATTTCGGATAACTGGAGACATGGGTCCCACACATACAATAACCTGATAGATACAATAATTAAACAGACAGCTCGCAATTCCCACACGGACTGCGATCCCCTATCAGGGTCAATACAAACAATA